ACCTTATACGAAAAACTATACTTGCAACCGCAGCCGGCGCACCGTGCCATGCACAGTGCAGTGCAGCACCTGCCCATGCACCGTACCAGCAGCAATTTCCTTTTCTTTTTCTTTTTCTTCTCTTTTGCTGTATGCATAGACACAGAAATGTGTACTGGCTATAGAACAGATCCTGTTGAGTACAGTCATACAAATTATTATTTTTGTCCAATTGGCAATTGGGCATGAGAATTACCCTCAAAGAAGAAAAACACACACTCAAATTGGTATTTGGGACATCGGTGTAGAGTCTGTAGACCATTAGGTGGTGGCATTACTCTCCTGCCTTCCTTTTTTTTTTTTTTTTTTTTTTTTTTTAATATCCAACATTGACCCACAACAATTTTCTAAAGGTGTCACAGGTGACGACTGATCCAGGCCTGTGATACATGCTCAGTCAAGCGATGTATATGGAGCCAAGGATCCACAAAGTGATGATAAGAACTCAAATGGACAATGCAGTGTCAGCAAAGCATCAACAAGCAATGCACATCCAGATACATATGAAAATAGCATAATGTAGAGCAAAGGAAGACTCAAAGATAAGACCAACGGAAGACTCAAAGATAAGCCCTGGCCTATCAGAGACTGACACGACATCCCATCATACACCACACATGTGAGAGAGGGAGGAGGGACCGCATACATGGAAGAAAGGTCCCTACTTGCACACGCACATGGGGGAGATACCACGAATGAAGAGATGGGGGAGAGGCGAGACCAAGATAAAGGTGAGGGAGAAGTCCAAGATCGCGAAAGCGAAGTCCAAAAACAGTCTCCCTGCCGAATGTCCAATCAATGTCTGCCGTAAAAGTGTCGAATCAGATCCTGGGCCTTATGCCCGATGTAACCTCTCTCTCTCTCTCTTTCTCCGGAGGAGGAGGAATGAGGAGAGATGGAGGGCGAGAGAAAATGAAGAACATGTCATCCTCCTCGCTATCTCACCTGCAGGTAACTGCCGCCATGTACTAACTGCCACCGGGTGCATCCTCTGTGCTGCAGGTGCGCTGGCACGAAGACCAGCTATGGCGCCCAGGTAGGATCTCCGCCGATGCAGGTATGGCCTCCGCCTCACTCCCTACCTACACCTCTACCTCTACCTCCAGCGTAGCGCTGTAGCGCTGCTCCAGCAGCGTGTCGCCCAAGAAGTGAGCTACTCAAACTGTGTGTCTGCCCTGGCGTGGCCCAGCTATAAGTAGCGCTGGGTCTCGTGGGTGTGCCTCTGGTCCTAGGCCTACAAACGGCCTGCCTGGGTACCTCCCGGATGTCCAGGCCCTCCCTCTTGATGCAGCAGGGAGTGTCCACGATCGGACAAAGAAGGACCTGGCCCAACAGGGCCTGCCTACGTCCGTACCAGGCCAAAAACGTGGCCTTTGTCCGATCAGAAGTCCAAAACAATGCCTGAACAGACAAAAATAGGACAGCAGATAAATAAATAAATGAATGAATGCTGCCTCAAATCGAAACCTGCAGCCCTAAGGCCAGTCGTGGGCCTCCAGGGCGCACGTCTGAAGGGCGTGTGGCCTGGGGGGCCCCAGCAACCACCGGGGCCCCAAAATGGGACCCGTGTGCAGGCTCAGCATGTAACACCTGCGACCCCCTCTCGGTACCTACTTCCCCCATGCGCCACACGGATCCAGAGTGCTTGCACACTAAGTACTCATGCACGACATGCGCTCGCAAGTAGGCTAAATAGTAAAACCCCACTTACTCAAATCTCTTTCACAAGTCCGTATCTGTGCCTTTTGCACAATTTTGAATTTTACTCCTTCCCCTCCTCTGCTCTATATTCCCTTCTCCATGGGCTCTCCGTACTCATTCTGCATTCACTCTCTCTTCGTCACTCTCTTAGCTCTGGCCGTTCTGAACAGCATCACATGCCTGCAATCAGGTTCTGAGAAGATGAGTAAATGCACAACACACAGGTATCGTACACACAGTCCAATCCTAATGAACACAAAGTCATATGTCAGATCAGGCGAAGGCCAGACTATGGATGCGAGGCATCGTCATCCCATAACTGCGGGGCTCTCCATGCTTATCATTCTGCATTCACTCTCTCTTCATCACTCTCTTAGCTCTGGCCGTTCTGAACAGCATCACATGCCTGCAATCAAGTTCTGAGAAGATGCGTAAATGCACAACACACAGTCAATCGTAATGGACACACAGTCCGTGACAGTCGAACGTCAGATCAGGCCAAGGCAAGACTATGGATTTGAGGCATCGTCATCCCATAACCGTCCATCACAAAACCACAAGCAAAGATGGCTTCCATGCGCAGAGACGTGTAGCCCATAACTGTTCATCGCAAAACCACAAGCAAAGATGGCTTCCATGCGCAGAGTTGCCCTAGACAGGAACTTGCTAGATCCCTTTTCAACAATCCAAAACTTGAGTGCAAGGCAAAAGGACTTCATAGGGCCCACATACATTTCAAAACATTGGACTGTAAGAAAGACAGCAACATAAATTTAAAAAAAAAGGAAAAACTGAAGTGAAAAAGAGAAAAAAGAAAGGGCAAAAAGATGGAACGAACGGTAGAAAGGTGCCGACTGTCGAGGGAGAAAAAAAACAAACAAACAAGTTGCTGATCGTTGGAGATTTGCTTACCTTTTTGTGTTAGCGGTATATCAGTCATTGACAACTTCCCCACGTCTTGGCATATAACACCATTCTCTTGAAGAAACTGCACACCCAGTTTCGCAGGCAGATGAAAACAAAAGACCATTTTCTGAGCAGAGATAGGCAGAAGGCTGATGGTAGCGCGAGGTGCAACACTGCTGTGCAAAGATGTATTCTCCATGAGAGTAAAGCCTAATACGTCTTTGAAATTTGCTGTGTTCATTCACTTTTTTATTATATTTTCAATTTTTTAAGAGACTACACACATCGATTCAATTCAAATTACAAACTGTTTCAACACGGTTTGCAGTTCGCATTACATTGCACCTTCATTCAATAAATTTAAAACCATGGTTTAATAGCCCATGGTCAAGAGTGAAAGTTGGCACAGGGGACCACAGATCCATGATCCCCCGAATAGATGTCAGTTATCGCCGTACCTAGAGTGAAAGTTGCCCCGGATACAGGCATCATAATGACTGTACGACGTGTACGTTCTAGTCGGGGGAATCGCCACAAATAAAGGCAAAATGACTGTACAATGTACATTCTATTCAGGGGAAGACGGCAGTACAACATTGCTCCATCTGATTTGTAGCATCCCATTCATGAACGTATAAAAGCTGCCATTCAGGTTAGATACAGTCATGACAAAGGTGGTATTTGCGTTCGGGGTAAGACAGTAAGACAGTGACTGCACACTGCGTAAACATACACGGGCGGGGTTACACGGGCGTGGTTCTGAACAAGCGGGGTTGCACGGGCGTGGTTCTGAACAACAAGAATGGAGCAGGTTACTTGAGCTGTCAAAAAGAGAGTCTACATCTTCTCCCACTGCAGTCGCCTGTACCTGCTGGAGACCAGGTCCAGTGGCCCAAAACAATCTCCAATTCGCTTTTTTGAAGCTCTCTCTCTCTCTCTCTCTATTTTTTCCTTTTGGAAGAAGAAATTCAATCCCCAATTTCAAACCTTCACACTTTTGCATTTTCTGATAGCTTATTTTCTGATAGCTTTAACCCAAGGGTTACCGATCACGAACAGTGCATCACTGCTCATTCCGACACCAACGCCGTGTTTATCCCACAGTGGACTGCTCCATCACATCAAAGAGGAGCCAATGATTGAAATTGAAGTCTTAACTGTCTTATGAAATTGGAGTCTCAAGCGTATCTTACCTCAAAGCAATGTCAGTGGAAAGATATAGCAACAGGTAGAAGCACGTGAGGATGGAATTGTAGATGTATAGTATGGTGTAGTCAAATACATGAAAAACAAAAACACAAGCCTCTCTCCAAGCAACATGGGTGAAAAGGTATAGCAACAGGTAGAAGGCAGAATCATGCTACAGGTAGGGACTACAGAGGATGTGAAGAATTTGACATGGACGGATTGTGTTTCATCATGATTACCGCTGCCAGGAAGTTTTTGTTGTCCTCGATGAGAGTGCATTTTATGTCCGCATCCAGTTGTTTCCTCCACTCTGACATCTTTTCAGGCTCCTGCATTCAGGGAGATGCATCCAGCAAGCCATCCATAAGCAAATATAATGTTACTTCACAAGAAAAGAGAGAAACTAAATTTCGGCAACGATGGGCCTCCGAAATAAAATTGGCATTATTGGAATGTCAAATGCAAGCGCCCATAGAGAAGCATACTCTCGCTGACATTTGCTGAGCTAAAAGCCATAGAGAACTATCCCTTGCAAGGCTGCATATTTGGCGATCTGGACTATTTGTGCAATCCGCAGACATGCAGTAGACATGCAGACCAAACATGTCAACATGGGCGAGGACATCAAAACATAGAAGCAAACCCTTCTGGAAACCGGGTCGCGTCCCTTTGAAAAGATGGTTACTTTGCAGATTTAGACTGAGTCTCAGAGTAAAAAGCATATTTGAAAAGATGGTTACTTTGCAGATTTAAACTGAGTCTCAGATGAAAGAGCATATTGAGCCTGTACTTAGATTCAGGCGATTGCAGTACCTACCTGTTCACCCCTTTCAAGCGCACCAGATTAAAAAATGAAGTACTGGTACAATCTTCAATAGAAACAAAATCTTTTACAGAAACTCAAAACCACCAGTACTTACTACTTCCTAAAGTCCTGGCGATAAACAAGCTGCCGCGATGCTGAACGTACCGGCCCATACATTGGCAGGTACCGGCCCATACATTGGCGCGTCAGTTCGTTCAAGCAGAAGCGCTTCTACTCTACTTTTTCCCGCAGCCTACGTATGGGCCAACAGGGCCAAGTACTGGTGGTTTAAGAATATCGATTGAAACTTCTACCGTCTCCACCCGAATAGAATGCCCGGTAATTATTGGTGCATTTGCACTAAAACTTTTCTGAAAGTCGTATCAAATTCAGCTACAATGACCGGGCGTTCTATTCGGGTAAAAACGGTAGTCCAAACCATACCACAACTCAGAGGAACAATACTCGTTGACGAGGGAAGCTGCGACGATAACTTAGCTCCGTTCAGGCCCCGTGTCCCATTGCCATAATGGCCAGGGGCAATGTCCCAATTACCTGGATTTTACGTTTCTGCCAGTCCGTTCTTCATATTTAGTATTTAGTATTTACTATTTACTGTCCCTCTGAAAAAAAGGAGGGCCAGGGAGCGAGACCTATGCCCAGGAATCCAGGATGCTCTCTTGAGCGATCCTTTCTTACCACTCTCGCTACAAACACTTCCATGGGATAGTCACCCGACTCCTCTTCCACAGGTACTTAACTTCCAGCTCCACAAAATTTATGGGATAGTCACCCAACTCCTTTTCCAGCTACTTAACTTCCAGTTCCACAAAAGTTATGGGATAGTCACCCGGCTCCTCTTCCACTCTTCCACCGGCACTTTTCCACCTCAACAAAATTTATGGGATAGTCACCCAACTCCTTTTCCAGCTACTTAACTTCCAGTTCCACAAAAGTTATGGGATAGTCACCCGGCTCCTCTTCCACTCTTCCACCGGCACTTTTCCAGTTCCACAAAATTTAATGCAATTTGGTCAAACCTTCTACTTCCTCATTAAGTATGAAAATACTATGAATAGAACCGGCCGCACTGATCCATTAAAAATGGAACGATACAGAGAAGAAAGATTAGCATGGCCCCTGCGCAAGGATGACACAGCGCATTAATCGAGAACCAGCCGCACACAAAAGCACACCCTCTATTTCCAAGGCGAGGCGGGAGAAATCGCTTGAGGGGGTCCAGAACTACTGGAGCGTGTGATCATCCAAAGAACATAATGCATTCCATTGTCTCGGAAGAAATTCTCCCATATCACCACCTGCATAAGGCGCAAGTTGACAAGGAGCAGGGTCTGATGCAGTGGCTGCCACACTAAAAGAATATTCTAGAGCACCCGCTTCTGAAAGAATTTTCACTAATCGTGCTAACTGTCGATCGCGTCAGACCCACAAGTACACACTCGATAAATTGACCATATTCTGTGCAGTGAGGAATCGAAAAATTGTCTGCAAAGTGGGGCGGCTATGTATCTCCCTCTGGCCCGATTCCCTGGCTCAGACCATAAAACAGTGGTAATGGGGTTCACGGTCATTTAACTCAACCCTAAGGCAGGGTTGAGGCGTAGGGAAAGAACTACACCAAGCTCAATACATCTTCACCCACAACTACCAGCATTTAAAAACCTAATCAAGATTAGCTGAAAGCCTGAAACCATAAAAAAAACAGTGGTAATGGGATTTTCCCTCAACCCCGGGGGAGGGTTGAGGTGTATGGAAAGAACTACAACAAGCTCAATACATCCCACCTACAACTACCAGCATTAAACAGCCTAATCAAGATTAGCTGAGAGCATTAGAAAACCAAAGAGGATGAGTAGAGTCTACAACTAGCTGAGAGCATTAGAAAACCAAAGAGGATGAGTAGAGTCTACAACTGATTGGTTCAATCGAGGCCTATATTTCTGGTGGAAGCCAAGCCGCCGCCTTCTGGGACATTTTTTTTTCACAGAATTTTTTGAACTTTTCTTTTTCCGAAATTTTGAGCCCCCACGTATAAGACTTCTTCAATCGCCACCACTCCATTGCATCCCAAAGACCCTGCTCGAACGTCGTGCACACCCCATTCTCCCTCCGCTGCTCTGTAGTCATATTGAAGTAGCCCAGCTTCCTGGACCTGTAGCACTCGTCTGTCCTTCATTTTTGTCCACTTTTTTTGGCAATTCCCGGCCGCCGTCCTGTTGTACCCCTCCTCTTTCAGCCGATCCGCTATCTATTCATACCGTTTCGCCCTCGTCATATGCTGCTGTGCGCCGTTAGCATCAGCCATGGGAGAGCATCGTCTTTCCAGCTTATCCTGGCCAACGCTATTCGCTCCTCCAATGTCTAGGGGTTGTTTTTCTTTCCCCCTTTTGGCCGAGGTGCCCTCTTCGGACGTTGTGTCCTTTCCCCTGTCGCCATGTTCACCGTCGAAGGCGCGACACCGCCCCTCATACCTCACAAAGGTTCCGCTGTACACCGACTCATCAGTGCTTTGGTTCCGTTGATTTCAGGTTGGGGAAACTACTTTAAGTTTTCGGAATGCTCTGCAATTTTTCACCGCATGGATTTCCGGATATTTCAACAACTTCGTGCATGGATCTTTCGTAGACACCCTACCTGGGGTCGACAAAGAATCAAGGCTTGGTTTTCACGGTAAGAAATACCGAGACAATTGGGTTTTGTATGCCTTCCCCTGTGGCATCATCAGCACTCCTTTTCCCCCTCACTTTGTCGGCACCTCCTCCTGCACGACCGACTGTTGAACTACCACCTGCTTCGACCCCAAACTGCATCGGCACCCCCTGCAAACCCTGTTCTTCCTCCACCTCCAGGTGTCCCAAAGCTAGGAAACCCACTCCTCCACCCCAGCACCTGGCTTAGCCTGGCTATACATGGATTCCCCTCCAAATGCACGCCCCGTGGGTGAACCTGACGCTTGAACGTCTTCTCCCCTTGCGGACGGCGGGTAACCAGCTATCATAACCTGTGAATGCCTATCATCAGGATCGGCCATCAGCACGGTCTCCCTTGTTCCACCTGGCGATGGATGATGTGGCCCGGAAGGAGAGTATGATATGTACGATCCGTAGGGCGATTGAAGAACATTATGGGAATTCCATCCAATCCATGCAGCGGACGGTTCGCCGATGGTGTCCGTCCCTCCCCATGCAGCGGATGATGATTCGTTGGAAGGCGGGTAAAGAACCGTTGGTATGCTCCTGCGTCAGTCCAGTGTGTCTACCATGCGCATTGGAACATCCACCATGACCTCCTCCCGTTCCCCCTCCCGGGTGTCCTCGCCAACTCGGGAGCGGAGGTAATCTATACGCCCACTGTTGACCGCCCCCAAACCCGTCGTGGTTGAACAGCATGTGTGGCCATTGGCGGCCCAGGCCACGCTGCACAGCCCCGCTACGGTCCATCTGTGTGGCAGCACTGTCCTCAACCGCAGAGAGCTCCACATCCAAGCTGCCCTCATAGTCGCCCATGAGCTCGAACGTGAATCGGCGTTCCTCCATGCGTCCCCCTCCAACTTCAAAGCTCCTGTGTGGACGATCTGCTTCGTCCGGTTCCCCTCTCAAAGTCAGGATCTTGACAATATGATAGCTACCAATAACACAGCGACACAGCCACCGTGCAGACGACGACGACGATGCCGTTTATGGCTTGTTCAAGCAAGGAGGGCCGAGTCACTCGAGTGCGGTCATCACCGCACGAAATGATGATCACTGGCGGTACGTGTATTGCTGCGCACAACCTGCAGTTGCAGATCACACGCTGCCTCGCCGGCAACGCATCCCGAAGGTCAGCACACCCACGGCATGCTGATCCCTGGAGACGGCTGAAGGACCACGGACAGCGACCAAGTGTGAGATCAGCACAATCGACAACCGACAACATCTGTCGAGGAAGACATGCTGGCAGCACTACTGACGCGGGGTTTCGCAATGCCGGACCACGGCACGCTAATCCCTGGAGATGGCTGAAGGACAGCGACCAAACGTGTGATCAGCACAATGGACAACCGACAGCATCTGTCGAGGAAGACATGCTGACAGCGCTACTGACGCGGGGTTTCGCAATGCTGGCAACACGTTCGTCGGGCAGTGTGCTTTCAGCAAGCTAAAAGTTGTCACCTTGCAAGCAGGTGGGGGGGGGGACGGTAAATCTGCGATGGAACAACAGAGGGTGTCCGACAGCGCCACTCCTCCCCTCCACTGCCTGGGACTTGCATGGCCTGTGTGACCACGTCTGCCCATTCACAATGGTAGCTGCCCACTCCTAGAGAACGTGCCCATGGAGCCCACGAACAAGCCTTGAGCGAAGTACGATGGCGATGGCACACATGGCAGTGGATGAAGGTGATTGTGCACGAAAGACGGGCAAGCTGGATGCCGCACCTGCGTGCATGCAGCTGCGGTGGAACGTCCAATGCGTATGCTGCTCACATGGCACTCCAGCAGGCAGGTTTGCAGTACACGCTAT